CTAGTACGTAGTCATCTAGCAAGGCTAGATTTATACTCTTAATTCAAGACGTATGCTGGCAAAGATGCAGTTCAGGCACACAAGGAAAAGAAATACCATTCTGTACTGTATGTTCTTTGCTTCCGAATCTGGTAGATTTACTCTTAAACTCCCATCTCACCCTGTAAGGGTGTGTCCCTCCTTTTCACTTAACACTCTGTAAATTCAGTTACTTCGTCTCAGAATGACTGGTCAAAATGCATGTAATGAAACTATATGCAGAATTCTCGCTGCTCTGGCTCTCCTCTGTTTCCATCACTTGCAAACTGCTATGTCCCAGAGATTTTATTTCCCTTCAAGGAAATGTTATAAGAATTTTTATACTTCTTATTTTGTTAAGCAGTTGTATGTGGAGTGGAGTATAGTTTATAGCACTGAAGTCTTAAATGTTGAGAGACCTCTCTCACCTTCATGGGAACATGAATAAATGAGTGATAACAGTAAAAACAAAAACAAAAACAAAAAAAAAAAACTGGCTTGGGAAAAATTCATTTTTGCTTATTAAGCCCTAAAAAAAGGGACACAGAAGGTAATTTACTAACCTCTACAAAAAAATTTTTCATGTGACATTTCTACTTCCTTGTAAGAATATGAGGGATTTTACCTAATGCCTAAAGAGGAGATCATTCATACTCAGTCGTTTCATATTAACTCACTATTCTGCAAAAAACATTACAGATATGATGATCATAAATGCTCAGTTACTAAAATGGGCCACACATTGCAGTGCTTAATTTGGTAAATGTATTGCTGCTTCAAAATATTATTCTAGACTATTCATCTGAGAGCTTAGATAGCCATCCCAGTAAGTGTCCAGGACTAGCAGCTCTTCCTGCTTTTGTTCTAATTCAAACTAAAAATCCTTGAAGTCTATCTAACTTTGGAGCAAAAACTCCTTTACTTAAAAATCCATTCTCCGGCCTTAGGTTCGTTCTTCATTTAAGGAGAAAGTGTTAAAGAATAAAGAAACCAAATAAAGAAAGGTCTTTCAAAATGTGAAGTATGACTGTAGCTTTAAGAACTTTTCCCATCACATACTTCACAAGTCTGGGCCAGATATTAGATAACGGATGTTAGCAAATACTTGTGTCCAATTAGAGCTGAGCTTACATCATTACATATTCAATAAGAATGTAGCCTGTTGCAAAGCTTCTCTGGGAACACAAAGACTCCTATTATTTCTATCCAAAGCCACCACACTTGCCAGAATGTCTGTATCTACATTCCATAGCGAAGCCGTAGAAACCATTAATACCTTTCAGGATAGGGGACAGATGGCTCCTTTTCACCCTTATTAGATCACAAATAGTTCTGCCTAGTGATACTTCCATATAACTTTAATGCCACAATGGAACTTGCAGAAAAGGGAAAAAAAAAAAAAAAACCCACAAAACAAAAAAAAACCCTTGCTGGCTTAAGTCCAGTTGAACTAAGTTTCTTATCCTCCAGTACGTTTACATTTCAAACTACAGGGCATCACTGTGCTTTTCCTGGCCTTGTAAAAGTTAGCCAACTTGACTTTAGCAAGCTTTTATCTGTATCACACTGTAACTGTTCAGAGTAAGAATGTCAGTATGTTGCAGAAACAAAACGGAAAAAGTATTTCTTTGGAAAAACATCTCGAAACGAAGTAAAGCGTTGAAGACTTTCTGTCCTACAGAACGGCTTCGCTCATTCAAGGGTTTTCATTGGGAAAAGCTCGAATCTGTGCTCTTTCTGCCACTAGGGGGCTTTGCCCACGGACGGGAAGTTTTGCGATATCTAGACTGGGGTAAGTAACTTTGCGAGCTGCTCGGGGCTGATCGGGTGGGGTCCCGTGGCTGCACGCGGGAACAGAATACAAACCTGTCTGAAAGACTGCAGGGTGCTCTCGGCTTCCTCTCTCTGCAGCATCTCCTCCTGCAACCTGAAACAGTCGCACGTTAATCAAAAAGGAACTGGGAAACCGCCAGGGGCGGGGGCGGCCACACCCAACCACCACGTCGCTGTGCCTCGAGACAGGAACTGCTGCGCCACCTCTGCGGACAGCCCACGACTGAGACTTTTAGAGCTGCTGCGCTCCGCAAGTTTTGGCGGGGCCTCGGCGGCAGCGCGCAGAAGCAATCACGGTCGCCACCCTAACCTGTAACGCGAACGCCGCCACCCCGCCCCCGAGGAACCTCTGCAATCCCTTTGTCTCGCTTCCGCCACATCCCTCCTCTCTTCCCTCCTCCCCGCCCCATGATGGCAGCCTGCCAGAAGGGGCCAGGAAACTTTCTAAAAGTTTGGGGAAATGGCGCTCATCGCTTACAAGGGCCTTCGGCTGCGCACAGACTGGTAGTTTTAAGAAATCTGTAACCTGAAGCGGGGTGTTCTTGGGCAATCAGTGGGGGTGCAGGAGAAATGCTAACTGCAAGGTCTGGGTTCAGGGCGGGGCTGCGCCGCCGCAGCCACAGCCCCGCTCACCCGCTGTCCCCCGTCCGCCACCGCCCCAGCCACATCCCCAAGGGCGTGGCCGCTACTCGCGGGGACCCTGTTCCCCTCTCCCTCCCTCCCGCAGCTCGCGAGGACGCCGACTTACTTCTCCCGGAGCCGCATGATGTCCTCGGCCAGGTTGTCGCGCTCCACTTCGACGCGGGCCTTGTCGTTGGTGAGCTGGTCCACCTGCCGGCGCAGCTCCCGCATCTCCTCCTCGTAGAGGTCCCCCAGGCGCGATTTGCCCTGGCCCTTGAGCTGCTCGAGCTCGGCCAGCAGGATCTTGTTCTGCTGCTCCAGGAAGCGCACCTTGTCGATGTAGTTGGCGAAGCGGTCATTCAGCTCCTGCAGCTCCACTTTCTCGTTGGTGCGGGTGTTCTTGAACTCGGTGTTGATGGCGTCCGCCAGCGAGAAGTCCACCGAGTCCTGCAGCAGGCGCACGCCGGGCACACTGCTCCGCAGGCGCACCGCGGAGGAGCGCGTGACATACGCGCCGCCCGGGGACGAGGTGTAGAGGCTGCGGCTGGTGCTGGGGCGCAGCGCGCTGCCCAGGCTGTAGGTGCGGGTGGACGTGGTCACGTAGCTGCGCGTGGAGCTCGGCCGGCTCCCGGTGCCGGGGCCGCCGAACATCCTGCGGTAGGAGGACGAGGACGCAGACCTGGTGGACATGGCTGCAAAGGGTGGCGGTGGGCTAGGCGGTGGCGGCGGCACGGACAGGCGAGCGAGGGCGCGGTGGGTGTGGGCGATTAGAGCGCTACTGCGTCTCTTGCGCGGGCGATCCCGGAGCGAGAGTGGCAGAGGACCGGGCCCCTCCGAGGGCGCAGTTTTTATAACCCATTAGGAAAGAGGGTCCCCTCCCACTGCCATCCCAGCCGCAGACCTCGCCAGCCAATGGGGACGGGACGAGGAGAGGGGAGGGTGGGCGGGGGTTGGGGCGGGGGCGCCCTCGAGCCTTCCTCCCCGCCCTTCTGCAAGCCCGGCACTGGGCACCATCCCGTTACTTTTTGGTTGGGCTGGAACTTTCGGGGGCTTTCCTGATGAGGGCCTGAGCTCTGCTCCCCACTGGGGGCTAAAAAAGGCGGGGTCGCGCGGTGGTGGGGGACCCTACACGGAGCTGGACCAGAGGGGTCGCAGGCACCGCGCCATAGAGTTCTGGGAGGAGGCTGACTGGTGGGAGGGGCGCTCGGCTGCAGGGCTGCGGTCGGCTAGGGGCGGGTGGGTGGGGAGACCCGCGGGCAAGAAGCAGGAAGCGGGGGGAGTCAGGGATCCAGAGGGTCGGAAGACGCGGAGAAAGAAACAAAGAGTGCCCGAGATTGGAGCGCGAGGTGGGGGCGTGCACCGCCCAGGACGCAGAGCTGCGGCCCCGCGCAGCCTGGCGCACCGCCCACTTTGGCCCACGAATCTTTTCAACCTCTCGTTTTGGGGGTTCCCGTACAAGCACCTAACGGGCTCTGTCTGGGTTTGGACGGCGCAAACTTCGAGGTGGCGGCGGGGAAAGCCCAGGGGAGAGGGGTGGGGTCACTGAGTCACTGGCAATGAGTCACTGAGCCCTGCTGTCCTCCGGGGTTGAGGGCTCCTAGCGGTTCGGGAACCGCTAGACGAGATGGACTCAAGTCTCCTCGGGCCGCGCGCACACTGTTCTGAGTTTTACATAACTTCGAGTCGGGCCTCCGCTTTCTTCTGTACGGTTCGCCTGCGGGGATACTGGAGCACCCCTACGTTCTTAAGGACTCTCCAAAACCTGGTTTTGTTCCAAATGTGAGGACTTTCCCATCAGCAAGACATTTCTGCAGACCCCGGATAGCTGCCAAACACGGGTCTCCAGCATCACGAACGCACCTCGGCGAGGGGTTTTCTTTTCAGAGTTCCCTCCCACCCTTCCCTCTGGGCTCCTCTCAGTGCCCCCCCCCCACCGGGCCCCATGAAACCACACCCGACTTTCAACAAGATCTGAAAAGTTCGGGTGAAAGAGGAAACCCAGCGTCCGTAGTTTCAAAATCAAATCGAGAAATCACTGGTTTTTCTGCTATAGTGGAAGTCATTAAAGGTAGAATCTATGCCAATTATAGAATTAATTAGGTGCTGCTTTAAAGCCCAGATTTGATGAATGAAAGGCAATTATATAACGCAAGTGACAGAATGTTTGGGGAAAATAGATTTATGTGTTCATTTTGGTTCAGAGAGGCACAGTGCGGGATTCTGTTGATTTGTCTGGGAAATGTCATAGGTCCTTTTGGCCTCTTTTCCAGAAAAATTCGTGCAATTGGCCTTCCAGTGAGGGAGATAAACTGTCCGCAGAAACAATAGAAACTTCTGGTCTTGGGCATCAGGGAGTACTCAGATTCCATCACCAAAACCCATGTAGGGTAAATCACTCAAATCAAGGGTTGTTGCAACATTGGTAAATAAAGAAGAGAGAGTTTACCCCCAAAGGGGAGATGAAGGGAGGAAAGGCAAGCCAGCCCTACTGGGATTAAGGAGTAATTTAAAAATCCTGGGTGTTTTTGTTTGTTTGTTTACATATTTAGAAGACCTAGTACCGGATGGATTAACTTCAAAACTAGAGTGAATAGTTACAAGAAAAAAGGTAAAAATCCTTCCCTGTTTTTGTTTTTGTTTTGTTTTCGAGTGGGGGGTGTGGGGTTTGTACTGGACCTTACCTGGCATTTAAGAAAAATAGTGTAGAACCAAATGAAGGGTTTATCGTAGCCTCTTGGTACAAGCCTTGTCTAGGCAATATTTTGTTTACCTCATTTCAGATATTTCTGGCAAATGGCACTGACAAAGTCAAGCTGTAGGACCTCTGAGACACAGCTCCCCTAGTGTGCATTTCCTTTCTTCTCTTCTGTGCTGGGGGGACCTTGGGGCACTCCCCAGGAGCATGCCTGGGGCTCAGTGCCCTGGTGGACTAGCTTGTCCTCCTCATTGCCATCTTGCTCCCTTAGAACTCTTTATTCAAACCACTCATCGCCAAATCGCCACCATTGTGAGTGTGCCTGGAATTTTTAGGATGAGGGGGGGAAAAAAGCCATCTCCCCATGGGGAGGGAGGGAGAGAGGATGGATCCTACTTCCTCCCAAAATGCTGATCCCAGAGCAATGAGGTGGTGCTGTCAGGGGATGCTTGCTGACTTAACTCACCACGGAAAATGAGGGCAAGGCTCTGGTGTGGTGTGGCAGGGTGCCCTGTTGGTGACCACAGCAAATTCCTAGGGCCTGGTGACTTCCTCTGGGATGGACTCTGGCCTTCCTCATCCTCTCAGGGGTATCCCTCCTTTCTAACCTGACTGCAATCTAAATTGTCAGGCGGGGCTGTGGGTCATTTGCTGTCTTAGCTCAGGTGCTGTAGCAAAATACCATGGACCATGTGGGCTACCCAACAGACAGTTCTAGAGGTAGGAAGTCCAAGATCAAGGTGCTGGCAGATTCAGTGTCTGATAAGGACCTGCTTTCTGGCGTGCAGACAGTCCCCTTCTTGCCGTGTTCTCAGATGGGAGAGACAGAGCTAACTGAAATCTCTTCCTTTTCTTGTAAGTACACTGAGTTCTCCAAATGGGGGCTCCACTGTCAGCACCTCATCTAGACCTAAATACCCCCAAAGGCTCCATGTCCATATACAGAAGTGTTGGAGACTAGGGTTCCAAGATACAAATTTGGAGCTCTGGGGGGTAGGGTGGGACACAAACTTTCCATGCATAGCACTCGACATACAGCGCCCACGTGTGCACGTACACACACATACAGAGTATCCAGGGTGCCCTTCCTATTAGAAATGGCCATAGCTAGCAGTGGCCTATTCAGCATAGAAAACTGGAGCTTACAAAAACACTCTTACCTCCTCCGTGTAGAAGGCACGCTATTTCGGACAGAATTAACTTCATTCAGAGACACAGGTGCGTAGCATGGGGCTCAGCCAATGGGCGGCCAGTCGCCAGTGTGGGAAATCACAATGTCTGCACTAATGTCTTTGAGTGGGATTCTTAATCCTGCCCTATCTGTGCCCCTATGTTCTTGGTGACCTTTGAGAGTCGACAGTATGGAGACCTTGCTCTCTCGGTTTTCCTGAGTACCCTGAAAACCTAGCTTGCAGGTGTGTTTAAATGCTGGACCAGAAAGCCGTTTCAGACACTGCACTGTGCGGGGTGTGTCTCCGTAAGGACATGGTGACCCAACTTGTAGGCTAGCCGTGAACACGACCGCATCTAAAGTCCTAATGGGGATTTGGGAATTTGCAAGCTGTGGTGATGTCAGTTGAATGGGGTGATTTGAACTGACAGAGCGGCCAGCCATGTGCAGAGGAGCTTAGCGGCGGGTGGGGGCTTTAGGAAGGCTGGTTGGCAGGAGGCCACACCGGGGGACAGCTTCTAGCAGGACGGCCTGGATGGGATGAGAGAAAGGAGAAGGTGGATAAAGTGAGATGCGAGAGGCAGGAAAATACCTGGAAGACGTGGTCATTAAAAAGATAATCAGGGGCACCTGGGTGGCTCAGTAGGTTAAGCCTCTGCCTTTGGCTCAGGTCATGATTCCAGGGTCTTGGGATCGAGCCCCAAATCGGGCTCTCTGCTCAGCAGGGAGCCTGCTTCCTCCTCTCTCTCTTCCTGCCGCGCTGCCTACTTGTGATCTCTGTCAAATAAATAAATTTTTAAAAATCTTAAAAAAAAAATCATCACTCATATCACCGGTACTTCCATTTTGGTGTCTCCTGGATGACAAGGGAGTTCGCACGCGTGTTACTAAAAGTCCTCATGGCCTCTTGCAAGGGGCATTCGATCGTCTATTTTACAGCCAAGGGGTCTGAGACGCAGGTTCACAATTTGCTCAGGGCCTCGTGACTAGGAGGGGAGGGAGGAAGGGGGCAAGATTTTCAGTGGAGGCCTTTCTGACTCCAAAGGCACTTTTCATTTCCCTTTGCCTTCCTCGATGATGAAATTTTGTTCCCTGTCAGCCAACCGTTCACAGATATTATTTAGGACCTACTGAGTTCCAGGAGCTGGAAAGGCTGGTTCATTATCAGATTATGTTGTGAAGGAGCGAACGCTGAATGGAGTTTGGCAGATGCCCAGGCTATCATTTGTATGTTATTCAGAGGACATAACAGTGATTCATAGTAGAGACGAAGTTTTTTGTCTTTTTGTTTTTTTAAGATTTTATTTACTTGAGAGAGAGAGAGAGAGAGAGAACACGCGCACACTAGTACGGGGAGGGGCAGAGGGAAAGAGAGAAGCAGGCTACTGGCTGACCAGGGAGCCCTACTTGGGGCTCTCCATCCTGGGACCCCAGGATCATGACCTGAGCTGAAGTCAGACACTTAACGCGCTGAGCCACCCTGGTGCCGGGGGTTTGGTTTTCACTTGCTTCCTAAATTATAACTGGGAGAGTTAAACATTTTCACCTAGATTTTTTTCCATCTCTTCAGAGGCATCGTCTCTAAAATTGGACGTAGCTCATCTTACCCCCTAAAACCCACCAACCCCAGCGGTTTCCGCTCCCAACCTCCGTGTCTGTTCAGGGCAACCAGCACACTACCGAGATGACAAACCTTCATCCCCATGGCCACTCCTTCCTCTTTGGTCACTCAGACCCAGGAGCCGTCCTGGCTCATTGTCTCCTGCATCCACTCCTTGGTTTCGTTGCTGTCACGCATCCAAGCCATTTGGTCCCTCAGCCCTGCAACCCTGGAATTCCCTTCTTCCAGGATCTCCTTTCCTCCACTAACATGTCTGTCTTTGAGCCACAACCTCTTTTTCTTAATGACTACATTCTTTTTTTTCTTAAGATTTTTTTTTTTAAGATTCATTTATTTATTTATTTGACACAGAGAGAGAGAGATCACAAGTAGGCAGAGAGGCAGGCAGAGAGAGTTGGGGAAGCAGGCTCCCCGCCAAGAAGAAAAGCCGTCAAGGGGCTTGATCCTAGGATCCTGAGATCATGACCTGAGCCCAAGGCAAAGGCTTTAACCCACTGAGCCACCCAGGCACCCCTAATGACTACGTTCTTAACACTCCCCAGAGATCCAAAGTGAATCACTCCTTCCTTCATTAGGAAATAAGCTCCATAAAAACAAAAAGAATGTGGGGTCCATGAGGGCAGGGATTTTTTTTCTCTTTTGTTCCCTATCTTATCGTCTCGTGCCTAGAGAAGTCTGGCACATTCGTTGAATGTTGGATTGATGCATGAGTAATTCACAGAAGAAAGAAGAAAGGAAAGAAGGGAGGGAGGAGGCTAATATTTCTAGTGCTGTTATGTTCAAGCCTTATGCCAGGCACTTTGCATGTGACTGCATTTAATCTCCTCAGGACATAATGATCCACAAATTCACTGACTCAGAATATTGAATAGTGACCATGGGCCAGGCTCTCGGCTAGACCCTGGGGGGAGAGGGAGAAGTGAACAAGGCTCGCGTCCTTGGAATGTTGACTTGAGCTGTGCGTGTGCAAATGGGATGCAGAGAGACAATACTCAGGTAAAGGAACAAGCAAAGAAATTACAATTTGTAATAAAGATGGTGAAGGAAACAGAAGTTTTGCTGCAAATGAGGTTAAGGCTCAGACATTCAGCTGTGACCTTTGAAGGCCAGGCCGAGCGGGGCCCACCCATCCTTCCCGCTGCCCCTCACCAGGCCGCAGTTGCAGGAGAACCCTGAGGTTCTCTCTGTTGGGGGAATATACCGCACTTTTCCATGTTTCCCATATTTCCTCATATTCTGTTCAGCCGATGGGGTGTCCTCATTTTCTGTACCGCCTGCAACACATTTTAGTTCAGGTAAGTTAGAAAGTGTTCATGCCTCTGGGGAACTCCCAGCCTTGTAGAGGCACCAGGAACCGCAGAAAGAGCTGTACTGCATAGTGGACTGTGGTGAGTGCTCTCATGGAGGTATGAATGAAATACTAACACGTTTAGATAGAAAAACGATCCATAGCCACTTGGGGCAGACCAGAAAATATATTTGGAAAAGGTGGTATTCAAGGAATGGCTACACTTTTTATGGCTTTTTGTGGTAGAGAAAGAAGGTTCAAAGCCGATGAAACAGTCTGAGCAAAAATCACCTAGATGGCAGGGTCCTGGGGGAAGGGGGGGCATTTAGGGGAGAGCAGGGATCCCAGTATAGCTGGACGGTAGAGCAGTGGTGGGGGGTGGGGAAGGGAATAGGATGCTAATATGGGACCATGTGTTGGAGGATGAAATGCCAAAGAGAGGAGTTTATCATTAATGCAGTGGGCAGTGGGAATTCACTGCCATTTGTGGCTTGCTTTAGAAAGACTGTTCTAGAATATTTGTGGGGGGTGAATTGAGGAGACCGGTTGGAAGGCTGTTTGCAGTAGATCAGTTGAATGGGGGACATCCAGTGATGGCCTAGGGAGATGACTGTTTCAGGCTGTGAAGTGAGGAGACAAGCAAGTCAAAGGCCTTAGAGCTTTCTGGATAGGAACCGAGAGTGAATGTGGTGTACACAGAAGAAAAATATTGAGGTGGGAAAATAATGTGGGGTGAAAGAGAATTCATTCAAATCCTCTTGTCTGGAAGTATCGTCCTTTCGTAGCCTATATACAGTGAAACCTCATGAGGTGGCTGAGGTATAAGCTGGGTCCCACAATTCTGCCTTTTATTGCACTTCCAGAATGTTCACATGAGTTAATACCCATTGCCTTATGATGGTCTGCTTTCCACAGTTGGTATAAAATTGGGGACTTCTTTGGTATCTTCTAGAACAGTTTCTAAAGTTCAGAGAAAAAGCATAAAGATGAATTCCTGGAAATTTCTTTGAATCTTTTTGGGAGAACTAAAAGCATATCATAGTTCTCCGTAGAGCTATTTATTAGTTGTAATTTCATCGAAGTCTAAAGTACATTCTATGACAAAGGAAAGAGAAGGTGGTCAGTATGTAGGAGGGAAAAAGAGATGTTCATCAATCTATGGAGGGAAAACCTAGTGCAAGTATTTCTAGCTGATGTCAGACAGACGTGAAGCTAGATTTTCAGTATTGGTTTACTGGATGCAAAACTTAAAATGAAACCAGCCCCGTTATAAAAACCAAACGTTATTTGAAAGTGGCCTAAAGGACACTGTCAGAGTTTAGTTATTGGCCAAGTGAGATTACCACAAGAAAATAAGAAGGTATTTACTCGTGGCCTCTAATGTTTTTACCATGTTTCAGGATAGAGAAGGTCATCCCACCACAAGAAAATTTGTCCAAGGGCATGCACATCCTGGAAATTGACTCTGCCTCTCTTTAGGAGGTCCCCTAGTTCCTGAGTGGTGGAAGTTTTTTCAGGAGGTATTTTGGTAATGGGCCTAATGATAATAATTGTTTAATAGCACAGTTTTAAAGAACTGAAGAAGTTTAAAAAAATTTTTTTTATTTTCTTTATGGTAACCTATAAAGCTAAAATGGAAATATATTGATTAAATATATAGTCATAATGTCTTTCCTATATATTTGGGACAAATAAAAGAACTCTATCCCACTTATCTTCCAACTGACTGATGAATTAACCAATCTTCCCCAAAAACGTGGAGATATTTTAGCTCTGGCATTTCATGTTCCTTTAGCCAGTGAAAATTATTTTCTTCAGAACCTTGGATATTACCTCTAGTTTTGGATATGTTTGATAAACACATGTTTATCATGTGTTTAAAATATATCCCATCAAACTTTGGTCTTATGTATGGTGACAAAGATGGATATGATCTGTAGAGGTTAGAAATGAAAATCAAAAGACGGAGTCTCAGAAAAGTAATAAACATATGAAGTCAAAGTAACCCTAAATGCAAATGGAAGGAAATATAAGATAATGATAAAACTATGCAAGGCACAAGATTAAGAAAACTCTTTACCACAATTATGAGAAATAACGAAGATAATTTCGAGTTAACTGTAGCAGAATAAAGGGATTGGCAGCCCTCTCCATAATTCTCCTGCAGTGGTTTCTTAAACTACTGAGTAAGGTTTTGTATTTCTAATTAGCTAAGTCTTAGAAATATGCCCTCTAATGTGACTCATATGAACATATGGAGTAACTACAAAAATATTATGGAACTTGAGCTTAATATAGGTTAAACATGTTTTCTCCATATCATAAATGGTGAAAAAATGTTCGGATACAGTACTGTAATGCATTCATCTGTGAGCTCCAGAACTTGAGTTTAGACAGGTGTGATTTCGCGTGTCAAGATCAGGGTTATCGTTTTGCTGACTCTGGGTTGGTTTTCACTGTCCGTGATTTGTGAGCTCTAAGCAATGATAATGGTAACCAGGCATGCCACGATATCCTGACTAAAATTGGACTCTGGCCCAGATGGGAAAGCTAATGGTAATCATAATGAGACCTTGCATGTATTGAGTGCCTACTGTATGCCAAGTGTGAGCCCATTTGCCACGTGTTAATTTATTTAATCCTCACAACAGCCCTATTATACATAGGAAGAAACTGAGACACAGAGAAGCTGAGTAAGTTACTCAAGCTCACACAGCCAGAACATGGCAGACCTGGGATTTGAACCCAGGACTTCTGGCTCCGGGTCCCACACTTGAAACTTCACTGTTCAGTAGTATCTCAGATGTTGTGGTATTTTTGTACCGCTGTTGGTGACATCCCCGCATCTTTTTGGCATTCTTACTGTGATATCGATCTCTTTGGACTTTTTTTTTCCTGTTCTAATGCAGCAACAGGACCCTCTTTGATTCAGAGAATATGGTGCCCTTAATGAATCATCAAGATGTCCGTGAACAATTTCAGGGGTTTTCTGTAGAGATCTCATTTCTTTCCTCCTCCTTCTTCTTCTTCTTCTCCTCCTCCTCCTCTTCCTCCCCCTTCTTCCCCTTCTTCTCCTTCTTCTCCTCCTCCTCCTCCTCCTCCTTCCTCCTCCCCCTCCTCCTCCTCCTCCTCCTCCTCCTCCTCTCCTTCTTCTTCTTCTTCTTCTTCTTCTTCGTCGTCGTCGTCTTTTTAAAGATCTCATTTCTGAATTCTGACTCAACCCACCAGAATGATTTGATAGTGATGGAGTATGACTCCACACAATTGCATGAATGAAAGTCCTCAACCGCATTCACTAGTGGAAAAGAAAGAAACTAACGTTTTTGGAACACATAGCCTCTGTAACTAAGAACATCTTCTACTCGTTCTCTATTAGTTGGAGTTTTAGGGAGATTTATTAACGTTTAGGGTGCTAATATTGCATGGGCCAAAAGTAATGGGAGAGTTCTGTGGTCTGAGCAGTAACAGTGAATCACAGGTCAACCAAGATTCTCAAGGCCAAACTAAACAACGTTACTGAGAATACATGCAAGCTTACTACCCAGTTAAAAAATTTCCTGTGCACCCACCATCTCATTGCTTTTGTGTATCAGAGTTTCCCAGATAATGCTCATCAACACCAGGTTTCTTTTTAAAACAGAGCCTCCTGGGCACCTGGGTGGCTCAGTGGGTTAAGCCTCTGCCTTCCGCTCAGGTCATGATCTCAAGGTCCTGCGATCGAGTCCCGCAGCGGGCTCTCTGCTCGGCGGGGAGCCTGCTTCCTCCTCTCTCTCTCTCTGCCTGCCTCTCTGCCTACTTGTGCTTTCTCTCTGTCAAATAAATAAATAAAATCTTAAAATAAAAAAAAATAAAAATAAAATAAAAAAAGAAAAAAAAAGAGCCTCCTTAAAGCACTTCACACGTGTACAAGGCTGAGAGCAACAAATATCATAATCCCATTGTAGATCCAAGAGGAAAAGAAGGGATGAAAGTGTTAAAAAGCCTGATGAAGTCCTCACTTAGTAGTGGCCCAAATCCTTAGTGGATTGGATTATACTAGAAAGAACCAGTGACCCTCTTCAGCCGATGTGTTTTGAGTCCTGATGTGTGCCAGGCTCCTGGTTGTGAGCTAAGGACACAGAACTGAATAAGCACCTTCTTTGCACTCAGAGGGCCCCTAAATGACTTCTCTCTTCTCTGCTAAATCTTTTTGTCTCTAAGTCTTGTGTGATCATGCTGTCACATCAAGATCTAGTCTAGTAGTTTCATAATGCCCCCTTCTCCCTGCACCACCAACCCTCCCCCCACCACCAACCCTCCCCCCACACCCGGCTAAAGTCGCAGTGCTTTTTACTCGGAAAGCCATGGAAATGTGAAGTTTACTGTTTTGTTCTCTCTGATAAAATATAGCATAATAACTAGTTGCTGGGTTACTGCATAAAACACAGGCCCCAAATGTAGCCGGGAAGAATAGTTAGCAATTAAGTAAAGGAAATGACTAGTGGCTTTGAAACTCAACACACAGCCCATGTACTTCTTAGCAAAGGAAGGCATCTGGGTTACTTAGGCAACTTTTATCACTAAGGAAGTAGTTTTGGTGACTCACACTCATACAGAAGGACTGCTTTCAAAATCTGTTATTTGGTGCCTTTACCATTAGGCTTCTGTTTTCCTTTATCTTTGGAGTGGGACAGAAAAAAGCTACATTTGGATGGCACGGGTTTATTACTTAGTAGCATATGATTCTCTGGCTGACCCATGTTTTGAAATTTAATGGACCCGTGGTGATCAGAGTAAAAGGTCAGTAGTTCTTGCCCCATATTGGTATATTAAATGTAGAACTAAGCTTATCTTCTAAGCAGCAATGTTATGTCTTATATTAACAACATTTCTTGTCAGTTACTTTTTGTTATTTGATGTAACAATACTGCTATTGAAAATACTGGTCACACTAAAGGGCTTTATACCATAACCTAAAATGCTTCAGTTTTCCCCCAAGGAGATGAAAAATGGAATTAAATTGTTCATGGAGAGCTGCCTGGAGTATATATTGTGTTGTATATATTATTGTATATTATACATTGTATATATTGTACATTGTATACCTATTGGTATATTGTCTATATTATTACATACAAAAAATAGAGGAACTGGCAGGAAAGTCCTCTGCCAGCTTCTCTCTTCAGATTATCTGTCTGCCCGCTCAATGTTCTAATAGTATTTACTGACAATTGATATTTTTCTGTGTTAAAAATAGTAGAGAAGTTGTAGAAGAAGTGAGTTAATTCCTAGAGTGATGGGCCGATAATGTGCTTGGAGAATTATGGAAGAACTTAGTATTGACAAAGAAAACTGGGAGCCAAGACCAGGTGATTGGGCTCGTGGGTTTGGTTACAGAGGCTCTGGCTTTGCCGGGTAACCTTCTCAAAATCAGTGTTCAGTGTAGTCAGCATAGGGCTCGCCTGGATTGTCTTTGTATCTTATGTTCTAACTCCAGAAATCGTGCTATAAGTCTCAAAAGTATAGCTGTTTTCATTTTGCTTTTAATTTAGCCCTTTTCTGCTTTTAATTTTGTGGCTGGAAAAGCTTGAAAAAGGCAATGAGTCATGACAACCGTTTCTTTTCCTTCCAGATAGAAGCGTTCAGAGTGAGGCCAGGGCACGGAGCACCATTTGTGCGATTCGTGAGCCTTAGCAGCCCTGCCCTCTTCTGTGGGGCCCCTTTCAGGGAACATGGGAGAAGGGATGGTCCAGTGGTTCTCAAAGTGGTGTTCCCAGACCAGCGACATCAGCATCATCTGCTGTTTGTTGGTAACGCTGTCGCTTCCCACCTTAGGCTGACCGAGTCAGAACTCTGGAGCAGAGGCCCAACAATCTGGGTTTTAAGAAGACTTCCAGATGATTCTGAAGAGTGCTGATGTCTGAGAACTACCATGCTAGTGAATTATTAGTATTTGTGGCCATGAAGAGTATGAAAACTACAGTGGTTGGAGAGTGGGAACATTGATGAGTCTGTTGATGAGGAAATGAGGAATAGCTAGGAGAGAGAGTTTTAACTTGAGAATCAAAAAATAAAAAGTCTGGAATTTAATGAGGAAGACTGATTGCTTGCAAGAACCTTTGCTTTCTTAGAGAGGGGCAATCTGGATGACTGGGGGATTGTGAACTAACTCTATGGGCATGGTTCTGAAATTCTCAAATAATCTCTCATGAGAGAAGTCATGCCTTTCTGTATGAGGACATACATTCAACTTAGGTTTGTAAAATCCTTTAAGACTCTCATGGGCCGTTGGCTTGCCCAGCTCATTTGCATCTTGAGGCCCCTGTTTCTGCATCTGAAAACCATATGCATTGTTACTTGCCATAAATGATCTCATCAGCATGAAGTCAGAGATTTGGGATATGTAAGAGGATTTGTGAAGTGATCTGATTACTGAAAAACGTGAAGCTTAAGAATGAAGAATAATTACTATCAATGTGGACAGGAAAGGGGGGTTTAGAAGGCAATCCAAAAATGGGTGGATATTTCAATTTCCCTTTGACACATATACC